ACCTTCATAGAAGTATGGAGAGGTAAACTTGGTAGCTTATACTTTGGTTGTGGCTGACAGTATTGATTCCATTGAAGAGCTTACTACCTATACAGAAGTAGTTAGTTGTAGTGATTCTAGCAAATGATTGATTTTTATAAGAGGAGATGGAGTCACTTAATAAAAATAGCACATGAGACTTGGTGAAATAATCCAAAGAGAATAAGGTTGTTCGCTTTAGGTGGGTGTTCAAAAGAAATGAAAGTACATCAGGAGTTGAGGATGCCAGATTGGTAGCTAAGAGTTACAGTTAGATTCCACGTGTTGACTTTACAGATGTGTTTCTCACCAGTTATAAAGTATAGCTCAATTCGAGCTTTACTTGGGACATGCAACAATTAGAGGGGTTCATAGTTATTGAAAAAGAAAATTATGCGTGTTTGATGAAAAAGTCCTTTTATAGACTGAAGCAGTCACCAAGGCATTGATATAAGAGGTTCGATTCGTTCATAACTACTTATAATTTTATTATAAGCAGTTATGATAATTATGTGTACTTCAGAAAGATAGATGATTGGTCAGTTACATATCTTCTATTGTATGTTGATGACATGCTGATAGCACCAAAAGATAAGGTAGAGGTTAGAAGGTAAAAACCCAGTTTAGTGAAGAGTTTGAGATGAAAGGTTTGGGTGTAATAAGGAAGATTCTTGGTATGACGATCTTGAGGGATAAGAAAGCTGGCAGATTGTATTTGAGTCAAAATGGGTACATTGAGAAGGTACTTCATAGGTTCAATATGCTGAATGTAAATGCTATTAGTACTATTTTAGCTACCCACTTTAAATTATCATCTAACATGTGCCCCAGATGGAAACAATGATTATGTCTCAAGTTTCTTATTCAAGTGCAGTTGGATCGCTTATGTATGCTATGGTTTATACACGACCATATTTGCCACATACAGTCAATGCAGTTAGTAGATACATGACAAACCATGGCAAGGAATATTAGAAAGCAGTACAATGGATATTTAGATACTTGAGAAGCTCTACTAATGCTTGTTTGCATTTTGGTATGAATACATATGGAGTCATTAGGGTAAGTTAATTTAGATTATGTAGGGGATTTTGATAAAAGGAGATCACTTACAAGGTACACATTTACCCTTGGAGGCTATGCTATCAACTGGAAGGCTATTTTGTAGAATACAATAGCATTATCTATAACAGAGGCAGAGTATATGGCCGTTACAGAGACATGTAAGGAGTCTATATGGTTGAGGGGTTTGATTGGTGAAATTGGTGAAAACTAACAGATTTCTAAGGTTGATACCAAGGAGAGTCTCGCTGATATGATGACAAAACCATTCCTCATTGCTAAGTTTGAGCATTGCTTGAACTTAGTTGATGTTTACCATTAATTTTTTAGCCCATTGGGGTTTGTGTGGAAGAGATTGAGTAATTGTTTTTGGGGTGATTTGTAGAAGAACGTGGTTTAATTCCTTGCATTAAAATTTGGTTCAATGTGAAGAATTATTGAAGTATGACCTAAATTCTATTGGGTATTGGTCTTTTGGTCGAAGGTGTCAAATTATGAAACGTGGAGAAAAAGTAAGTGCATTCCCGCTCGCTATTTGCCTGGCTCCCGCTCGAGTGCTCAAAATAGGAGCCCTGTCGCTGTCGCTAGCTTGGCGCCGATTGTCCCTTGAGCGGCGGAATCACCACTCGCTTGGGCCCTACCTGACGATCAAGCGATGATTCGTTCCATTCAAGTCTGTTTCACATTACAATACGTTTACTCCAATCCTTATAAAACTCTATGTTTAGGGCTTATATAAAAGAACCATGACTTGTAAACATAATATAATATGCATAGAGCCTTGAGAGAGCTTTAGAGCTTGGGTTTCTATATAAACTCTTGGTGTTCTTGTGTGATTGATTTATTTATTTCATCTTTGCAATTTCTCGCTTTATTCACAACATAAATGTTAATACATATATTTGTTTATGAAACATTTGTTAATTGATTGCTGGACATCGATTAATCCATATTTTTCATTATGTTAGTATTATTGTTTTTTTTTTGATGATTTTGAATATCCACATTTTCGTGCGTTTTCGAATTTTTGGGATAATAAATGTTGAAAATATATGGCGTGCCATCCTAGTAAGCATCAAATATTAGCAAGCATTTTGCATGTCGGTTGGGAAATCTCATTTGTAATAACAACTACAAATTCATAGCACCACCATTTGCAACAAAAACCAAATTCTAAATGAGTAAAACCAAATTAAGTCCATGTAAGATAGAGATTAAAATTAGGTTTTTAGTCAATTTTGATAAAAGTTGATGAATTAATCAAATACCAAACATGGCTAAAACACGTTTCTAATAGAAATAAAGAAGGGAAGCTAATGTCAATAGCTAGTGGTACAAATGACTACTGCTTACTGTAAAATTCCAAGTCCCATTAGCTGTTAAATGCTTTATCAATTCCGTCGTAGTGAAAATTAACGATTTTGAGGAAGTTGCAAGAGGCATCTCCATAAGATTCATGCATTGAAAATCTTAAGGTGAATACTATTTTGAGTGTATAAATGCATTAGCATTGGGACCATGACATTTGAATTAGCATAAGAATCAAATCTCCTTGGCAGCATTTTGTAGAACTTTTCGGTCTATCATGCCCATCAAAAAATGGCTGGTTCAAGGTAAATAGAGCAATAGATTGATAGGAAGTTTTCTATTCTAAGCAAGAGAAATAAAATATTTGGTAAAGAGTAATTTTTCAATATTTGTTCGTCGAAGTGAAGAAAAAGAAGATAATGGTGATGGAATTGTTTTTAGGATGCACGGGAGTGGCAGTCACTATCGTTAGAGGGTGGGAGGGTACTATGTGGGATATGATTATACGAGTGTGTATATATTAATATCAATTTAATTATAAGCATATCATAGATTTTTAATGAAGGAAATGTTTAGAATCAAACATAAATGACCATTTACACAAAAGAAAGATTAATTTGGGGTTCAAAGGCCAAAAGTAACAATTTTCGCAACTGAGGCTACCAATATAAATTGTATATTCCTCCACCCCTTTTCAATCATAAACCTCATCTTCTACACTTCTCTATCTGCTCGGCTACTAGTATTTTTCTCTCGGCAAAACCCTCGTACGCCGTTCACGGCGGGTCAAAATTCATCGTCTCTTTCCTTCATTTGCACATCCTCAACAAACCCGAAAATGGCGGTGACCACAGCGGCATCTTCATCATCAGCTGAGTTGACAAGTGAAGGACCAGTCCTCACCCTCATCAACAAACGCATTCGCTCCCTCCGCAAGAAGCAGAATCGTATACTCCAGATGGAAGAGTCCCTCTCCCAGGGCAAAACCCTAAACAAGGAGCAAGAAGAAACCCTTAAATCCAAACCCTTCGTCCTCGCCGGAATCGATGAGCTCGAAAAGCTCCGTCAGCCCCTCGCCGACGCTGTGGCTCAGGAAATCGCTATCGCTTTCCATATAAAGGAATCTGAAGCCACAATAAAGCAAACCCCTGATGAGGAAACCCCAAAGCCCGAGGTGGTGGAGCAATCATCGGTGGAGGAAGAGAAGTCGAATTCAGAGGGCGTTTATGTGATTTCTGATCTGATGAATCTGCTCTATTTTGGGAGTGTGTTTGATGTGAAGACCCTGATGAGGGCTCACGATAATATGCTCACGAGGACTCATGAAAGGCATTGTTGTTTGACTTATGATTATGTTACGGATGATGATGCCATGGATCCCCTGAAAGAGCGGGATTTGGACCTGATCTCGATGCTTGGGAGTATGTTGCTCTCGCGGCCTGTGGACTCAAGCTTGTCCCACAAGAATGCACTTCAGAAGTGTGTCGAGCATGCCAAGCTATGGCTTGCCAACTCAGATCAGCCCATCGAGCCAAACTCTAATGTCACTTGTAAGAACACATCCAAAGAATTGCTAAATTGCCTCTCCATATATGTATGCCTTTATATTTTACATGAATTGAACGGTTGTTTGTTTGGTACTTGGGGAATTATTCTAGTAGTTCTATCCTGGAGTTGTCTATTATAATATATAAATTATTGTTTAATTACACATAATGACCCATTATCTTGCATAATGGAAGCAGCCATTTGAACCGAACTCTAATGTTAATAGTTCGGATACTTCCTCTCTTTACATCACAAAGTCTTGAATGCATGTATTTGTGTCTAGATGTATCTCTCTGAATATTATGTTCATATCAACATGGGTCTCAATATTCACGTATTTGTGTGTAGATGTATATATCTGAATGCTTATGTTCATATCAAGGTGAATATGTTGTTTTGACCAATCTTTTGATGACTCTCATCATTGTCATGGTAGCTTTTACTTGATATTAATTTGTTGTGGGCTTATGTGTACTAAGCACTGCTTCCTAAGTTTTTAACCCTTACGAGAAAGTTCCATGCTCACATGTATCTCTCTCTGTGTGTGAGATCTATATGAATGGGTTTATTTATTGGTAAAGATTGGGTATAATATAGTAGATTATATTGCAGGCTATTGAACCTAACTCCATTGATACTTGTACAGTTTGTCCCTTTCTCCGAGTCTCACAAATCTTTGTACAACTTGATGGGCACAAAATTTTTTTCTATTTTTTGGTGAATGTGTTGATAACGTTGGTGATTTTATTACTTTTGTGATAGTTGTAGTATACATATATTGGAGGAATCTAAATCCTTTTTGACGAGTCTGATCTCTATTGAACTTCTATGATAGTTTTTCTTGTGGTTAGCATTTGTTTTTGGTTGATATCACTTGGTGATACTTTTATATGGCTTGGTTTTGGACCTCGAATTATAAATCGAAGTTTTATCATGATGTTTTTTTATTTTTCTCTTTTTTTGTCATTTTGTATGAGAATTTTTATGGGGTTGATTTCTAGATGCTGGATTGAGGGAGAAGTTGAATAAAATTATGGCTTCAGACTACTTTACAACAACACCAGAGATGAAAGGTCCCATTGAAGTTGCAGCAGCTGCTGGGAACTATACATCTTTTCAGGTTCCAGTGCATGGGTCTGTGGTGCCAGTCCAAGTTGAAGTTTCAGCTGCAGCATATGAGCAAGAGGTAATGTTTGTTGAATCTGCAATAACTTCACAGAAAGTAGGATTTGATTTGGTTATGAATGATGACTTTAGTGAACTGTCTGTCGTTGCTTCTACAAGTAAGATAAATATATTCTGTTTCTACATGCTGTTCTGGGAATGAAGCGGATTTAGCTCTTTATTTAGATCATATGTGAGTAATTATTTTCTGATTTCGTGCACTATTCATGCCACTAGGTATGTAGTTCTTGTAATGATATTTGTGACTTACTCTCAACTTTACTGCTCAAATTGATGTTTTAAACCATAATAGTATTTTCACTATTCTGGATGTCAAAGTTTTCGTTCCCCAGCTTTACTGGCTTTTTTGTCAGTTTTATATGCCAATTGGATACCCACTATTGCACCTTCTATCTTTCTTTGTCTTTTCATTCACATGGCTGACATGCTTATCTAAGCATGAGATGAAGAGAGATCAATGAGAGCACATTGCAAAACTAGCGTGCACGCATCACTTGCACTACTAAGGAAACAGGATAATGTTACTGCTTGCGCCTTGTATAAATTTGTTTCCTTTTGGCTTATTTCTTTCCAACTACAAAATTCTCTCGGCAGATGGCAAACCTCAATTCTCTTTCTTAACAAAATGATGTTGTCATCATTTGCCGACCATGTGAATGCATAGTCAAATTTGATCATCAAAAACCACAATGCATTTCATATTTGTTCTCTCTCTCTCTCTCTCACACACACACACACACGCACCCCCACACCCAATGTACGACTTTTTTCAATTATCTATCAATCTACTCAAAGCCCTATAGAGATATATAGGCTGGGAAAAAATGAAACACAAGCAAATCTTGAGTGAATTCATTTTTCCTAGTATCAAAGTATGAATGTTAGATGCAAATTATACCTCAAACGCACGGTGTCAAGCTTTAATATAACAGTGAAGTTAGGATGTAAAATCCACATGGACTGATAATTAAATTCCTATTAAGTACTATAATTAAAATAGTATTTACTTTATCTAGACGATCAAATTGATGTGATCAATGTAATTTTGCTAAATCTAAATTAAGAGATTGACTAAATCAACGATTGAATGACGATTATTTAGGATTGAACAATATGAGAAAAGCCTAGGGTTTTGATTTCATCTATCAACTATGTCTCTTAATTCTATATTTATCTGCAATTGGTTTTTTGAATTTATAAGCAAAACCCTAATATATTTCTATTCCCTCTCTCGAGTGCCAGGGTGAAAATTGTTCCTAAATTTCAATTTCAATATCTCTATTCCAAATCAAATTCTAGGAATTCACAAGTTCCATGGTTCTTTGTGGGAACGCTTCAAAGGATTTATACTTTTTTTCTCGAAACCTATAAAACTTGGGTTGTGTTACTCTATGATCAAGTTTAAGGATCATTCTCTCGAGTGCCGAATCTTAAACGTCAAATCAATCAATCAATGGTTAGTTAATTGAAAGAATTAAGAATAAATAACACAAATAAACTTAAAAGAAAAACCTTAGAAAAAATAATTATTGGAAATCGAAACATATCAAGTCTAGATTACATCAATCTACTAGATGAAAGAATTAGTTCTACGATGAAAGAATAAGAAAATCTTAAATTCATGATTAATAATATAGAGAAGAAAAGAGATAAAAACTGTTTTTGGAGTTTGGATCAATCTTCTTCTTGCCATTCCTTTCGCTTGATTGCTTGATCTCTTGATTTTGCCTCATCGAAGTGTAGTTGGAAAGTGCTTCTCAAGTTGTACTTATGCCTTTTTAAATTCTATCTCGAATTAGGAGTTGTTGTTGGCTTTTTCCGGACCAAAAAGACAAACCCTAGATTAAAAGGCGCAGCACCTAGGTGCCAATTTTCTGCTTTTCTGGCCGTAAGAGTGGCGCCTATGCCTTGTCTTTGAGTTTCTTCATTTTTCTTCATCTTTAGCTTCTTTCTTTGCTTTCTTTACATGGTTTCAATTCTTCTTTTCCTCGATTCATATCATCATGACTGTGCTTCCTACATTCGCACCTTTTCTACCAATTCACCTAACCTATAAAACAACACGAAAATACAAATTAAGACGTTCTGAAAGTCTTAAAGATAAACAAAATATCAAGTTTAAATAGTAACAAAAGTGTGATTGAAACACACTAATCAATGAACATGTTTGACAAAGCTTAAAAGGTGCTCAATGGCACTTTAATTGAGAAGTAACCTCTTGATACTCCTCAAATAGGGCGCTTTTTCAAACAACTGTTAATCATACTTAGCCAAACATGCTACTCAACTATATTATATGGTTAGATTAAGTCATCCAACCTCCTTTCTGAGATCCAGATGCCATTTCTGACCTCTATTTTAAAATGCATGAAGGTGGAACATTCTGCTGATGACAAGTTAATAATTGCGTTATGAATTATGATAAGCCATCTCTTTCCTGAGCTACCTTCTGGTATGCCTAGGTCCATGTTGTACCAAGCCATTGATCAGGCGCTTTTGATTTTACAAATTGATTATGATAGTTCCATGTCTTCACTTACTGAAGCTGCTTAAGCTTAAGAAAACTATGTAGTATTTTGTACTTCCCTTAAAATCTCAATATGTTAACCTAAATCTCGTTATAAATTTATTTTTTCTGTCGTAAGAGTTCACTGTGTATTAGCAGTTTCAGTTTTTAGATACTTCCTTACCATGTCTTTATCTTAAAATTAGTAGGATTTCGGAGGTCAAACAGCTAGATACATACTGTCACTAGATACCAAAACCTGAGTCTATGTACACTGTTTGGGATTTGATTGTGAGGACTTCTCATCTGGGTATCTTATTTTGCTTTTTCATCAGTTTTCTTCTTCAGTGTCTCGAACTTGATGATTGTTTATTTGTGGAAATCTGTACCCTTCATATTAAAATAATGTTTTTAATGGTTCTTTTGTTATCTATATTTTACCACGTGAAAGAATTAAATATACATTTAATATACATGACGATCAGTATTTCTTAGACATGCCAGAAATGACCCTCTTAGATCTAGGAAATTTTTCATGTAAATAAGACTCTGTATTTCTAGGTGAAAATGATGCTGTTCACTTTCCTGCCTATCCCGAAGTGGGGATATAGGGAGGCCTGTATATTAGAAATTTGCTTCTGATAGTCTGTGCCTCTGTGATTGCTCGTCCTTACCTATTTATTGGGAATAGGGTCTTGGAGTAATGCATACAAGATAGTCGGGGGCTTATTTTGGTTCGACTTAGTGACTAAACTATACTTGAATTCTTTATGATAGTCTGCATTGTTTAGACAGGTTTAATGGGCATGGAAGATGATGTATATAGAATGAAAAGAAAGGGGTGTGTGCGTGCATGTTAAGTAGAGGTATATGCATTGGAATTAGATGCTTCAGTTTTCACAATTTGCATGCACTCAACTGCTGAGGATCCCTCCATCTGTAGCATTATCAAGTCATATTTCAGAACACACAATTCTGATTTATGTGTTTGAATGTGTGCGCGAAAAATATTCTTTTTTGAGTTTCTTGTTTAATTATCTGTCTGAATTTAATTTTCTTCTTTAGTTCCTTGCACAGAGGCTCTCTCTATTCTCATCTTCTTACTTTCAAATGTTCTATATAGGCAGAGGAATCACCTAGTGTGCAAGCACATGGAAATGAAGTTTATGATGATCTATCTGATCATGTGGAAGAACATCATCTGGTAATATATTGATTCTCCTAATGGACAGTTTTATGCTAAAAAGGATTGTGCCTTCCAAATTTTCTTTGTTGATATATTCTTTTTGGTTGCAGGGAGGAGGATCAGAAGTAGAAAACTCTGCAGAACAACAATCTCAAATGAAGCCTGTCACCCCAGATATAGAAGTGGAGCAATTTTCTAGGGATCATGAATCAAAGGATCAACAGTATGTTCCTCGACGGTCGTATCAGAATTATAGAGGTGGACGAGGTGGGAATGTAGGTGGCCGTAGAGGAGGATATCCTAATGGTCGTGGAGGTCGAGGCACTGGTCGGGGAGGCAATCAGAATGGCCGCAGCCAATTCTACGACCAGCCAGGCAATTATTACCCCCGGAACAATCATTTCAGAGGAAGGGGTGGCCGGGGTTTGAGTGGGAATTTTGGTTACCATGCTGGTCAATCTGCCCATGTTCAAGCAGAATCATAAACGTTGAATGCGTTCTGGGCAAGTTCGGTATATCCAGTGCTGGACTGGATTGGATATTAGAGTAGACAGATTTTAGAATCTTTTTGCTCTTTAATACTCTACCTCCTCCCTTACTAAACGAGTCGTTTACTTCTTACAGGCTTCCTTCTCTAGCTTTTCTGGTGGATGGTTCAAAACTTTTTGGTGTAGGTGGATGTGTCTTCTTTGAATTGGGAACTATAATCTCGTCTGGGTTGAATTGAAGTAGCAATGTCTTCTAGAATTGGAATGTTTATTCCTGTGACATTTCGTATTTTAACATTTGCCTCTTTTCGGTGATGACAAGTTCATTTTCTCTATTATCTTATGCCTTTTCCATCAAGAAATGCAAAATTATAGGAAAAGCTAAAAGAATATCGTTTAACGAATGTTGGTGTTGAGTCACTTAGTGACGGATCTAGAAAGGTTGTTGACTTGAAAGGCTCCAAGATTAGTTTTACGTAAGTTTCCAATCTTGATTAGTAATATGAATTATCTAGGATACCTTTGAGGTATCCTATCCTCTTTAGTAAGGCAATTTGAGGTGCCTTGGACATCCTTAAATCAACCCACGGTTGAGATGAAAATACTTTTGATGATCTTATTTATAATCCTCACTTTAAATAACCTCATGGCTTATAATTTTAAAGATTTTGATAAAAGAAAACACATAATTGCTACGTAACAAGTTCTTCCGTTTCATGAATTCTTTTTTAATACCAACTACTCTTTATTTGATTAGCCTTAATTGTAGTCCATATCCATGTTGCAATCCCTTTGAATCTGCTGCCTTGCCCTATGAAGGTGTTACCTTGCCAAATTTACTTCTGACAACTCCAAGCTTTTGCCAATGAACCAAAATTTCCTCACCTCCCTTAATTTTCTGCTATTCAAAATAGCTTGCAGTAAAGTGTGCATTGGTTGGTCCACTGAAATAGGAGGTAAAATCGGCTTAACCTTCTCATTATCTCCTACCCATTTTTTAGGAGAGATGCATGGAACACCGGGTGTAGTTTGGAGTGAGTTACCCCGGGTGTAGTTTGGAGTGAGTTGGTAACTCCAATTTTGTACGCCACCAACCCAATCGATGCAATCCTTTTTAGCATAGCTACCTTGTGTACATTATTGTTATAATACTAGTATCCATTCTTCAACAGGGAAGACCCCATTTGAAATTGTTTATGGTTGTGCTCTCCCCTCTTTGCTAGCATATGTTCATGACATGACTAAAGTGGAATCAGTGGAGAATTTTTTGTTGGAGAATTTTTTGTGTTGATTTATTCTTTTTGGTTGCAAGGTAGCCTCTGCCTTATGAGGCACATTCTCTGGTTGGCAAAAATCAAAAAGAGCTATTGTGACCTAAAATTTGCTTTGGAACTCGTTTAGCTAATTTTATGAAAGTGTTTCTGGTAGTTAAAAAATCTTTTTTAAAAAAATGATAAGAAGTGCTTTTAAAAATTATTTCCAAACAAAAATTAAGATAACTGCTTCCAAAAAATCTTCTACAAGAAGAGGAAGCAAATGCAAAAATAAAAATCATGTCAACGGCCTCGTAATATCATAAGCAAAAGCACAAGGCACTAATGAGGGAACAATTTTACTTTTAAAAAAAAAAAATTATCAAATTACTTTTAAAAATATAGGAATGTCAAAATAATTGGGTGATGTAAAAGCTAGTGCTTTTTCTTTTCTTTTCTTTTTTTTTTTGTCAAATACATGAACTAATGGAAATCCTACTTTTCGGCTGCTTTTTACCTTTGGAAAAAGTTATCTTTTTAGCTACATAAGAGTCCCGCTCCGACACATTCTAGCTCTTACTCTAGCGGCAAATCCTTTAAATTTAACGTCATCTCGAATCATTATGAAACTACAAAAAAAAAAAAAAAGTTAAAGTCAACTTTATAATGGAGAATTTCATGACGTCATAATTATTCTTATATTAGACGAATTATTTGAAAAAGTATCGTGTAAATGTAACATGGGGGAAAAGTTTGATGCGTATTAAAAAGGCATCTTCCTCCTCGTTTTAACTCGCGTGTTTCACTTGCGCTCGTCCGTCAAAAAATATAAGTATTCCCATAAGAAGCATTGAACCTGTGATTCAACTTTGCCATAACATGTATGTTTACACTTTTTAAATTAGATTTATGACGTTGGAAAATAATACTAGAATAGATATAAATAGCTTAAACTTTTAAAACATATTATTCAACATGTTATTAGAACAGACAAAAAAAAAAAAAAAATGTATTCAAGTCTAACTGTCACCTATTTATTAAAAAAAGTGCACGTACAAGGCTTTAATTGAAAAATATATATATACATTTACATGTTGGACACGAAGACGTCATCCGAATAAGAGTATCGGTGGATCATAGCCTATGATTATGATCGCTTAAGCATAGTGGAAAGCACAAATTGTTGCAATGACCATCTAATAGGCATTTTGGAACAAAATAATTGGCAACAAAAAGTCAAATGAATCAATTCAACGAGGTATAAGTTTTATACCTTTTGTTCATGTGATAATATGTTGTCTTAAATGAATTTCATGAAAGTGAAACATATTGGGAATTATTATGCCTGGAATTAACTGTATCATGAGAAAGGAATAGAGGACAAGCTTCGCAGCGATGGACGCCACCTAAGCAATGCTTAAACGCCACAAACTTCTTCATGGAATATGTTCTTTAACATCCCATGAATTTATGTGGCCATTTATGAACGATCATTTGCTCAGTTGTACATAGCCATCATAGTGAATACTTCATGGAATATTTTCTTTAACATCCCATGATACTTTAATTAATGAATGTCAAACGGACAATAAATATCACGTGCCTTTAGCAATATTGTTCAATCCAATGTGCAAGTAGAAAACTTGTCGGTAATCTGTACTCGTCGTTTCGTGCATTCAGTGTATTGTAATGAGAAAATTACGGATTTCCCGAAAGCAAGAATATTGGAATAAAGTAGCCACAAACAAAAATGTGGAAAAATCACTGGTTTTGAAACCGTTTATTAGGCCTAGTAACATTGGAATTGTCCAGTTAAAAGAACTAAATCTATTCATTATTTAACTTGAACGATCGACATTATAAAGGGTCCCACGAAGAACATATTCCAAGTGCAGGAGCAGTTTTTTTTTTTTTTTTATGAAGAACAAATGTTAAAAAGGGAATTTCAACCAGTATAAAAAGCCACCCCACGAGTCATTTGGTATAGTACAAAGTTTTCAACTCTAAATCACTTCGAGTTAGCACGACCTTCAAGCATC